TATCCTACGTTGCATTCAGCTGGCAATCGCATTATATATGAATTTAAAAAATATATCGAAACTGATGGCTAAATTCTGTTAGAAATTGCTTTATGTTTTTAATTACTTATGTATTTTAATAACTTTTTATAATAAAAATAACCTGTTCAGTCGTATTTTTAAAATAATTTCTGACATGTCATCTATTGGGAAATTACGTGTCAACCTTTGGCCCTGAAAAAGGTCGAAATAAAATCTAAAAAATGGAGATATGCATAAACTAAAATAAAGTTTAAGTGATAAACTTAAAACCTTAAAAGCCAAAGGAAATTATACAAAAACCATCTAAACATGAAACTTATAAATAGTTCATCAAATGTCAAGCATTGGGAAAATTACATGTCATCCATTGGGTACATTTAATTTTTGCCCTGTCAACCATTGGCTCTTTTTCATACAACTAAATAAATTATTATTTAAGGAAAAACAAAGATAAATCGATTACTTCCGTTCATTCCACCAATTGTTCAGGTTCCAATTTACAATAATGTCTAATACTTTGGGAATTAAATTAATATGAAACATCGTAAGAGGTAGAAATTTGGTAACTGTTACCTTAATATGTCAACCATTGGGGCTTTTACCTTAGTACTTCTATTTTTGTTTCGTCAACATTTTTAAATAAATTTAAAATTTTAATCAAACTATAAGGAACTAATTTAAGTACGAGTATTAAAACGGAAATCCTAAACCTAGCGGTGGAGATGAGGAGACGGCTTCCATATGAGACCCGCGTTTGAATCTCGGATTGGGAACTAATAAAATAAAATAATCTTCTTTTTATGTTCATTTCATTTTATAAATTACTAAAATTCATAAATTATTTTAAAATTAGTTAATTTGTCTTAATGACCTAAAATAATTTTTTAAATTTGTAATTTTCGTTAGTGGGTCGTAGAAAAAATATACTGTGTGGATTGTCCATATCCACTCTTGTTGCACAAACTACTATTGTATGTTCTACTTTTTGCATACGAGCCCAGTTAGCCAGATTTATACGGTGCTTTGAGTTGACCATTCGAATGAAGCTCAATAGTTTTCATTTTTTAATTCGAACTCAAAGGGATTTGCGCGGCCAGGGGAACAGATTTGTAGCAGGCTCGTGGCGGACTTAACTTGCCATGCGGATTAGACGAAATGGTAGGATGCTCGAGACAGGCTTTTCGTTAAAAAAATTCTACCCAAGCTCGGCTCAAACGTGACCAACAATATTTATACGCACCTTTACGTAGGTGCGCATAAATATGGCGAGCCACGCCTCAGCTAAACCAAAAAACGAGCCTAGTTTGTTAGATTTTTACCGTGTTCAGAGACTACCACACGCCGCGCAAATAAGGCTCAACGGAGGCTCGTTTTCTGTCGGTTTTTAGCTCGAAATCAAAGGGATTTGGCTGGGCTCAGGCGCAGCTCATCATATTTTATCTATTTGGTAAAAAAATATATTCTTACTTATACAGTATCGGCTGTCGAACGTTTTCCAATACGCTTTGTACAAGTGCATGTGAAAAGTTAGCATTAGGCGAGCAGGAAACGAATAATATCAGCGTTGCCAGTTTATACGGCCCGGCCAACGTTATAACTTTCAGTGGCCGACACTTTATAATATTAATTGGACGAAATAAAACCATTTTAGGCAATATTCTAAGTAATTCATGTACTAAAGGGTAATTATTAGAAATGTGAAAAATTAAAAGGAAATGTAATTAAATTAGAAGATGAATTCACCAGAGGTTCGCACAGTTGATAAATTTTGAAATTATGTCAAATAATATCCCAACGTATGATTTCCTGAGTGTGTTAACCCATTATCTGCCACGCACCTTTTTATTCTTATTTTTTTTTCTAAGGTCATTTATGAAGTTTAGAGGTTTTCTATTCACAAAATCGTATGAAAACCGTGCAGAGAATATACTAAGTATTTTGATTTCCTTAATTTTTCTTTTTTTTTTATTTAAAATATTTTTTTGAAAATGTGCTATTTTAAACTTTTTTACCTAGTTTCAAACAATTATTTTTTTAGCTAGTAAATATTAGCAAACTATTTTTTCTTCTGCATCACATGAGTAAAAAACATTTATTTTGATAGTTCTGTAATTTGTTTTTACTTATATATACAAATCGACTGTCATATTGACATATATTTGTAAAGGATGCGTATACGCACCCTTGGCCGAAAACTGTATAACGATATAACCATTAGGAACAAGAGTTGTTTTAGAACTATTGTCTGTGGTAGAAAATCCACAACAGCATAAAATATTTTTCGATAACTTTTTCACGCCCTTTTTGAAAGTTTGAAAGAAAATAGCTTTTTTGCAACCGCAACAGTGAGAGATAATCGAACCGCTAAATGCCCAGTTGAAGATAAAAACGCCATGGAAAAAAAGGAAAGAGGCTCTTATACTTCTGCATTTGATCAAAACTTGGGAGTCCTTGTAACAAGATGGAATGACAATTCTGTAGTCACGGTAATGACAAATGCATGTAATGTTTTACCACTCATGCAGACAAAACGCTATAACCGGAAGGAGCGCAAGGAAGTATTTATCCCTCAGCCAAATGTAACCATCAATATAATAAATATATGGGTGTGGCAGACCTCCATGATAACGGTATCTCTAACTATCGCATTGGAATAAGAGGCAAAAATGGTGGTGGCCTTTGTTTACTAATCTGATAGGCAGCATGGTGGTAAACAGTTGGAAAATCTATAATATAGCGAATGAATCCAAAATGTCACAAGTAGAATTTCGCTCGAACTTAGCACTCTCCTTGCTAAAACATTGATGTTACTTCAAATACTACAGTATCCAATTCAAACAATGGAAGACCCTCCAAATCTGCTCTTCCAGCTGATGTGAGATTTGACAACATCGAACATATCATAATTAGGGAGGTTAATAGTGCAAGGAAAAAGTGTCGATTTTGCAAAAGTAACGGTATTTATGTGTGTAAAAAGTGTAAGGTGCATTTCCACACGCAGGATGTCTTAAAAAGATTAATACAAATGGGACATGGTTTTATCTTACATTTCATATAAAAAGTTCTGCATCATTTGGGAATCCATAATCAGGCATTAAATTTTGTAAAATATACCTAGGTAGTAAACAGGGAAAATAGACCAAAATATTATTTAAAATAGGAATTCAAAAATATGATTACATTTAAATCATTGTACTTATTTTTAAGTGATTTTGAATTACTTAATTCAACAAATATTTCAAAAACCAATGCTAAAGTGTGTATTGTTTTTTTTTTATTTTACCAACCTTATGCTTGATTATGGATTTCCCATTGATGCAGGACTTTTTGGGATATAGGTACTGTATATTTTTATGACAGTCTTTTTCGTGAAGCAAAGCAAACGACAAAAAATAGATATTTTTAGGAAAAATATTGCTAGAAATTGGGAGAATTTACGTCTGGCTGAGCTGGAAGAAATAGTAGTAGATACATGGAGTGAGGACGAAGAAGAAATAAGGGATTTCATAGATTTCGACCCTGAATTTTACAAAGATGTATTTGGTTATGCTCGAAAAAATGTAATTTTACAAAGTCAGTTGATATCCTACGCTAACTTCATTTCCAGAAAAAGTGGATTTATCCAAAGTTCCTCAATTAACCATGAATTCCAGGATAACTGTATAAAAAACTATTATTTAACCTCACTTTGAATATTGCCCTACCTTATTTTACGTGTTTAACTTAAATAAACTGAAAACTCTACAAAAGCTACAAAACTGGACAATGAGAACTATTTTGAGATGTAACAATATCCTTAATGCTGGAGACCTTGGTTATCCGTAGAAAAAAGACATACTTATATTTGGTAATGTGCTATATCTATAAAATGGTTCATTATCTTCTACCTTCCTATTTAATAGTTTTATAAATTTTATTTATCAAATTCGCAACTACAATACCAAGCTTAAGGATAATTTATATGTTAAGGCATTTAACACAAAAACAATAATTTTTTAAGGCTTATTGACTATAACAATTTGCCAAGTTATACAGGGTGTTTCATTGGGAAAGGGACACACGTCAACTGTGGATGGAGGCCTCTGAAGTGCTTGCAAATAACTCATACCTACTTACTTATTGGGTCTTTCATTCGTTATAACCGAAATACATCAATTTTGTCAATTTTTTTTATAACTCATAAGTTACGAATCACCTTGTTTATATTTTTGACATTTTGCTCACTTATTCTCTACAACTTACCGAATTGACTAAAATATAAACAAAAATCGAAATTCTGTCTTTACAAAAAATTCGTCCATCCCCCAAACAAATCCCTGTACATCTGAATTTAAATTTTTGTATTTCATATTAGAAAAGACCACAAAAACCTGATGTGCTTTTTATTTTTGCTCATGATTAAACTACTAAAATTTTAAGTCCAAATTTTTCGGTAAGTTATGGAGAATAAGTAAGTAAAATGTCAAAAACATACAAGGTGGTGTGCAACTTATGAGTCAAGAAAGAAATCGGATAAAACATTATTGGTTATAAAGGGTGAAAGACTCAATAAGTATGGGTTATTTGGTAGCACCTCGATGGCCTCTATCCACAGCTAACATGGTGTTCCTTTCCCAATAAAACACCCTATATAGTCTTCCAAGGCTCTAATCAATTTAAAACTCATTTAATTATTTATCTAAAAATATAGGTTATATTGTTATCAAGCTAAATAATTACCATTAGTTGATTTCAACTGTATCTCATAATTTGTATTTTTGTATCTTCTTTCTTTTCTATAGCGTTTATTTTATTCGAGTAAATTTAATTCTTGTATATTAGGTTTATTCTACTTTCAAATAAATATTATAATAGCACTTAATTTTTTCGTCTCCCACTAAACAATAGGTACATTATTTACTCATATTAATTGTGATATAATTTGTACTCATCACATCACCCGACACAACATTATCTAATTTCTAAAATGTTTTACTAACCTGGTGCAAGACAACTTTCCTGCCATTTCAACAAATCACAGCCATAAGACACAGTGGGCACATAAGCAGAGGTACTATTTTTGTACTTAGAAACTACAGCAAACACTTCACCTGTACCCCTATAAGAACTATACATCCTATTATATTTCTTATTGATACCAATATCAGGCACTTGTCTTCCATTTTTTAAAATATCTTTAACAGTTAACATTTTTTCTAGGTTTTTAAAATAAGTTTCAACTGTATTGTCATATTCATAAAGGTAAAGATGATACATGTCTACTTGTACTTTTTTATCATCACAATTTGGTGCTCCTTGGATGGAAGGGGGTTGACTTTTTACTATTATAACATCATCGTTGTATTCTGTTAATTGATAGGGGGCCACATCAGTTTCAAACGAAAGATTGCAACCACCCGGTACAGGGTCTAAAAAAAAAAAAACATAATTATAAAGTCAAAATCCATTCAATTTTTATTTAACATCAAGTTGGCCATGACAAAATGGTACATTTCACCCTTGTATCATTTTTGAAGTGAATTTATGTTGATTTAGTGAACAATGTTGCCAGTATTTACTACGAAATATGTACCAAGGTATTGGTGGTACAAGCCGAGGTACAAGCTAAGTGATGCCCTCTAATAGAATAATTTATAAGCTTCACAAGTGTTGACAACAGTAGGTATATGAATATTATAGTGGTATATTTTAGTATTTTAATCATATACTTATATAACATTGAAAAGGGTTGTTTAGTAATTTGTTATCTTGAACATGCTATGAAATGAATAATATGATCAGTATGATGACCAGCTTCGGTTAATGAGATATCATCAAATCTGAAATGTAATAATGGTGAAATAAAACTAAAGAGACCTTGTATCCTAAAGCTTGAATTTTAATAATGTTACAAAGATTTTGACTAATAATAATTAGTTGGGAAAAAAGTAGGAGTAAGCACTCCAAAGGGACCAAAGAAAGCAAATTATCCAGAAGTAGAAATGGATTATTTAGCCTATTTTTAAGTGTTTAAGTATTACCTACAAATTTATTTAAGGCTTGACGATGGCTAATTTGCCAAAACCGGTCAGCATAGCTTTTTATATTGAATAAGTGGAACTGATTTAGTGTTTAATTTCGATCTCATATTTATTATCAATAAAGATGCTAAAAACACCATATAGCAAAATTGTCAGCATCGAAATGTCAAACATATTTCAAATTGCAACAATGATCAAAGGTGAAAATATTTAATTATTTTTGATTGTTCAGTAGGTCAGTTACAAACTTTTTTATTGGTAGCATGCAGTTATTTATAAACAATTAGTAACTAATTAGTGTAAGCTAAACTTTGGTTTTCTATTTCCCAAATCAAATAAAAAGCGAATGGTTTATACATCCACAATTTTTTTAAATTCTTTAATATATTGGTTAAAATATGTAGATAATAAAAAAATATAAGTAAAAAAGTTACATTTACTATTTTTTTCGAGTTTTTTTACTTCATAAGTAATGCCTGTTATAATGTTTAAATAATTTTTCCTACAACTGGTATAAAATACATCAATAGTTATTTTTTTTTAGTTTTGTTTAGATTAAATACTTTCAAACTTTCATTATTTAAATTTAAATAATCCTTCAGTAATCAATTCTGTAAAACAATAAATAAGATTAGATTGCCAACTAACATTTTATTTCTATTATTTGTAAGACTGTATTCATCTTAATCTTGTTACTGCACAACACACATAATTTAGTTACATACCTTTAAATTATATTTCGTAAACGATATATTAAAAAAAAAACTCAAATGGTATTCATCAAAATTGTATCTGTACTATCTCCTCTAACAAATTAATGTCCAGACTACGTCACTGGCTACAACTAATCTTACATTTTGTGTTTTGATTTTGTAATGCTTACCATCTTCATCATACAAGCTGATAACCAATAATATTTGAAGGGATTGCTCAACTTTTATGTTCCTCGACAAATAAAACAAAGCTGTGTTATTATCAGAATCCCAAACTAATCCTATATTTGTTCCTATGACATATGATCCCAAATTAAGTTTAGTAGTACTAGACAAAGTGACATTCTCAACATAGGTATGGACCTGTATAATAAAAAATCCGACATCGTCTCTAATATTCGTAATATTAATTTTTGTGAACCTATCCGTTAAATTGTAGTACTTTTTGAACACACTGTATTCGTTATCTTGAGGATCAAACGCAGACAGATCGATTTTGATGTCAACACATGAACCTGTAAGAAAAGAGTGAGGTTATGTTTCAAAATTATACTCTACGGATTTAATTCAATTGTTGCTTTAATTACGAATTATTAATACACCAATTATCTATTAATCAAAACACTTAAAGTAATTTTATACAACAAATGTACTAAAACGTATAACTATTGTCTTTTAGGTACTCACCAAAGGAAATAAAAGATGTTATAATGAACACTGTCACAAATAATTTATTCATTTTGCTTTATAAAAATGAACTTAAGGGTAGTTAGCAGATAAAATATTAAAAAATAAAAAGAAAACACTTGTTAATTACATTTTATAAGTTCAAATTACTAACTCAGCTGAGAATTGCAAAGTTGTCAAACAAAACAAAACAATTTTCTGCGGGATTGCCAAATGTATCAGGAAATTATGCCGGACTGTTGCTATGTTAAAGGGAAATGAGAATGAGAGCTTATAGTGTAAATTATTAATCATTGATACATATCAAATAATTATGAATTACACCTTAATATAAAAAAAAATGACTAAAGAAGATAGGTATAAGGATTAGATAAATCGGTAACCAAAACAATAAAAGGCAGATAATATTAATATCGTTGACTTTAAACTATTACCTATTTATTATTTAACGAGGAATTATTATTAGATAATTGGATATATACATAAACAGTGTGTTGTATGCTGTGGAGCATCCAGAGATTAAGTCTGGGGAGGGAGTAGTAGTAATAATATTTATATACCCCTTGTTTTTATAATAATATATTTTAGTATCTATAAAAAGTTAGCTTTAAAAATTCTTGAGGGGGGGGTGGTAATTGATCCCATTCCGATATGGATCCAACTTTATGGAACACACAACCAAGGGCGCATATATACACGGGGGTGTAATTACTCTCATTACCCCCCCCTTATTGGATCCATATGGGAATTTTTTTAATACTAAACGTCGTAGGACATTCATCCTCTGCTTTTTAAAAATTTAAAATAGCCCATATTAAAAGTGGCTACCACATTAGGTATCTGTTAAATACGGCATTATGTTGAAAAATCGTTTTTTTTTATATTGAAAATTTCCCATATGCGTCCAAACCTTATATATGGAACACACTGTAAAATAATAAATTATTTCCATTACACTAAATGCATAGTTAGGTTAATGACATTATTTATCTTATAGGTATTTTTACCTTTGCAGATTTAATTGTTTTAATATATTATTTAACTTTTAAAATACAATGTTATTGAAAACATATTTGCAGCTTTTTTATCGAGGGAGACAATTTCTTTACATTCCATAAGTCCTTGTAAATTTGGCAACAGCATACAAAAAACTATGAACGTGAGTTAACTGAGCTAGTATCCGCCAGGGGCGCATTAGTGTAAACATGGCCGTCTCCGATCAATGAATCCGTAGTACGGGAGTGTGTAAACTAGTGTATTGTGAAATTATGACTTGTAAATGAATAAAAGGCTTATTAAAGGGCCATGGGTAAAGACCAGGAACTGTTGGAGGCTGCTCGAAAGGGCAACGTCGCGGTTGTCGAAAAGATTTTAGGCCAAAGGGCGAAAAGGAGTGGTCCTCTTGCAAGGTGGGTTTATATTTCGAATCAGCTGTCATGTTATCTGTTTTTAAACAAGTTTTGGTACAAAAGGTAGCAGTCTGGCCTGTTTTATCTATAATACAATATCTGTTTGATAAGTAATTAATACGGAACTCTATTATTAGTAACCGGTATCACAGTTTTCTTTGATAAACGCAATCATCATAAATTACTAATTTTTGAGGTAAAACCTCAGGTAAAACTTAACTCGGTTCTTAAAAATGAAAGTACGCAAATAATATTTCCATTATTTAAACGTTTTCATAAAAATTATATGTTAAGTACCATAGAAGAAGATTAAACTAAAATGTTAAGTAATTATAATTTAGAGAAAGTTTCTTTCAACCTACTGGGTATTTTATGAATAATAGGTAGTAATTTTAATATTTCAGCATTATCGAACAGGAAACGTGTTTGAAATAAAATATAAAAAGATAATTATACTTAGTTATGAAAGGAGGTACAATAAGTTATGCAGTTTTTCAATCAATAAGTGTAGGTGCCTAGGTAGTTGCATTAACTTTGTTTTCCATATAGGTACCTATACCAAAATGAAACTACATATTTTATGACTAATTATTGGTGTAGGTATTTAACTAAACAAAAACATAACAAGACACTAATTAATCTATTGTTGTTGAAGTAAATAATAAAGTTAAATATCTAAGATACTCTTATACCTACTAACTTAAGTTATTTATAATAATTTTATGAATTCTTAGGCCTAATTATTTTTTTTTATTTAATGCATGTTTCTAGGTACATAACTGTTCAATGTCAATAATGAATGGTTAATAGTAGGTACCAATCCTCAGGAAGTAACATTACTTAGTTTCTACTTAAATGTTTTTTTTTTAATATGAAATTACTTATCAGAAACATTAAATCCAATGAATAGATCATCTATTGTTAAAGGCTACTTCCAAAAATAATGAAATTCATATTTATTTTAAATTTTATTGCTTCCAACTAATAAGAAAAGTATGTTAGGTACCTATATTTATGCCTTATTTTTGTTTTTGACTAAATCACCTAATTTTTAATATTCAAATATAAATAAATAGAATAAGAGCCTTTATTAAAATACATAGTACTAGAATTAAGATATATAATGGGTATTTAATATTTATACTATTCACAGTTTGACATTCCCCCTTAACCCCCATTTTAAATCAGATTTTTTTCAGAATTCATAGGCTTCATCCACTTATAAAGCTTGATTTTGCCTGAAGATTTAAATTTGATATCGTTTTTTGTTTCGGAGTTTTTTAATATTTCAACTCCCCTTATCTTCTCATTTTTATTTATTATACTCTTCACACAGTAGTCTGTGAAAAGTATTATAGGCGAGATTATAGGTTTACATTCAAGAAATCAAAAATTTTAATAATCATCCAAATTTAAAAAAAAATTGTACCCGAAATCCTTCTCATCAAATTTTAAACAACTTTTAAAAATGTCCGTCCGATGTCACGTTTTTAGTCCGCACGATTAGTCAAAAACGAAAAATGATATGAACTTAAAATTTTCAGGAAAAATCAAGCTCTACAATGGAACGAAGCCTATTCATTTTAAAAAAAAATGTTGTAAAATTAAGGGGGGGATAAAATTAACAAAAAAAAAAATCAATTCAAAAACGAAAAACAATATCAACTTGAAATTTTTAGGACATACCTATCAATCTCTATAAGGGGACGAAGCCTAATGATTTTGAAAAATCTGATTAATAATGGAGGGGTTAAGGGGGGATATAATTAAAAAAAAACTCAAATCTAAAATAGAAAACAATATAAACTTGAAATTTTTAGGAAAAATCAAGCTCTGCAATGGGACGAAGCCTATTGATTTAAAAAAAAATCTGAAAAAAGGAGGGGTAAAGGGAGGTTAAAACTTAAAAAAAAATCATAAAACAAAAACTAAAAACAATATCAACTTGAAATTTTCAGGAAAAATCAAGTTTTACAATGGGACGAAGCTTATTGATTTTTAAAAAATCTGATCTAAAATAGGGGGGGGGGGGGGGGGGGGTTGAAATTTAAAAAAAATCATAAATGAAAAACGAAAAGTGATATCAACATGACATTTTTATTAAAGATCAAGCTCTATAAGGGGACAAAGCTTATTGATTTTGAAAAATGTTATTAAAAATTGAGGGGTTAAAGGGAGGGGGGGTTGAAACTTAAAAACGGAACGGAAAATGATATTTACTTAAAATTAAACTTAAAATTTTCAGGAAAAACCAAGTTCTTCAATGGGACGAAGCCTATTGATTTTTAAAAAATCTTATTAAAAATGGGGGGTTGTTTATCTGTGAAGAGTATCGTATAGAATGCCGAGCATTATATATCTTTATTCTAGTTTATTTATTCATTCTCTTATAGAGCTTGATTTTTACTGAACATTTTGATTTTTGATATAATTTTTTTTTATTTCAACCCCCTTGATCCCTATTTTTTAATTTTTTTTTAAATCAGTAGGCTTTGTCCCCTTACTTGCTTGATTTTTACCAAACATTTCAAGTTGATATTAAACCCCCCATTTTTAATCAAATTTATTTAAAAATCAATAGGCTTCATCCCCTTATACAACTTGATTTTTTCTGAAATTTTCAAGTTGATATCATTATTATTTCGTTTTTGACTTATCGTGCGGACAAAAAACGTGACATCGGACGAACGGACAAAGTAAACCCATAATACTCTTCACAGACTAGTTATCACAAGTATTCTATCTATCTATCTATCTATCTATCTATCTATCTATCTATCTATCTATCTATCTATCTATCTATCTATCTATCTATCTATCTATCTATCTATCTATCTATCTATCTATCTATCTATCTATCTATCTATCTATCTATCTATCTATCTATCTATCTATCTATCTATCTATCTATCTATCTATCTATCTATCTATCTATCTATCTATCTATCTATCTATCTATCTATCTATCTATCTATCTATCTATCTATCTATCTATTTATCTATCTATCTATCTATCTATCTATCTATCTATCTATCTATCTATCTATCTATCTATCTATCTATCTATCTATCTATCTATCTATCTATTTATCTATCTATCTATCTATCTATTTGAATTAGGGCGTGGTTCAAAGCCCACTTGTACTGAAGCTCTAGGCTTATTGTACCCCTCACAGTTTCTATCCCATCAGATTGATTTTCTTGATGAATTCAAGAATATGTCTGATGGGCGCTTTCGCGATTTCTTCAGGTTCCCGGATATTGTACCCCGAAGTACCATTCCCGTTCCCATTTAAGGTTCCGGCAGTGGCATAGTATGGGAATAGGAGTTTCGTCCTCCTCTTCACATATTCTACATATGGAGTCATCAGATATCCCTAAGAGATTTAGGTGTCTTCTAAGGCCGCAGTATCCCGTAAGGAGTCCTATCTTGAGTTCGCTTCTGCTAAGGTTTAGCAGGTGATGTTGTCCGCTCGTGGATGAATCTTTTGGACTGTCTAAGTCCAGGAAGTTCCATCCAGAGCCTATGGTGTTCTCTTTTTATTTGTTCCTTCAACACCCATTTAAATCACAGGTATTAAAAATGCATTACCTATCACACGTATTGTACACATTTTTATCTACACCATTCAAATATTGAAAAGAGTAAGTAATTTGACAATATTCATGATTTATTTTGACTAGACTTACTACGAGGCAGTAGTAAAAATTTTAGATTCGAATTCATGGTAGGTAAAGTAAGATATCTATCCACAAAAATGGAATCGACTTCATTTTACGGAAACAAAGTAAATGTTGTTTATAAAATTTCTATTTATATTATTAAATAATCTTGCCAAATACTATGCGATGAGAGAATTTTTTTTAGAAAGTTTTGTTTTCTCACAAATCCTTTCTAAAGACGACTCAGTTAACGTCTCGTATTTGGGGGATTTCGTTTCGTAAAATTTAGACCATAGTTTCCAAAGAAACAACATGTTCTCAAAAAATTTTTACCTCTTGTGGTTTTACCTATTCTCGATAAGAAATTCTTGTCTCACTGGCGTAGATAAAATATAAAAAGCCGTTATCCTCAAAAAATGCAATATAGGTACCTACCTAAGTATGAAATGCTCGAGATTTACCCGCAATAATTTTAAGAAAACTACCTCGGGTACCTATAATATTCTCTAAAAAGAGCCGTCTTTATATAAAATTAAAAGAAACATTATGACCAATCTTAAATATTGAGAATTACTATGTGGTTATTGACATTAACATTTACAGCTATCATTAATTGTTCATAATCATGCTGTACAAAGATCTTTATTTGTACTCATATTAGTACCTCTATTTGGGGACTTCCTGGACTAGATTAACTGTAATAATTGAATAATAATTGAACATAAATCATTCATTAATTAATGGTTCTTTTATATTAATGTTACGTCTAGACAAGTTGGGTAATACCTACCGCAAAGATTTTGTGGGTGAGACTTCCACAATGAATTTTACTTTTTTCCTTTTTATTATTTAGAGAAACGATATTTGGATGATTAAAATCGTTTTTTCGTATAGCGAAATTACTTTGTAGGTATCTAAGCAACAGTTTTTTCTTGTGCCTTTTTTATCTTACATCATTTTTATTAAATTTACAAATAATGAAACGTAGGAAGCCTCCTTTTAATTCCGTAAAAACAACAGGATTATTGACAAAGAAATCAATAACAAAATGTTTATCACAGCCCAGGGACCTGTTAATGTTGTCACACCCTACCGCAACTAGCGAACAAGTATACTCTCCCTTGTGTTGTGGTCGTTAAGCTCTACAGGTTGAATCGTCAAAATTCGACGTTTACTTTTATGATAATCAATGGTTTCGCGTGACAAGCTGGAGTTAGAAATGGAAACGGGAAAGGTTCGTTCTATTAGGGAAAACGTTTTTTATTGAAAGGATATTACTTAATTTTATTTTGCAGTTGAATTGTTACCTCCTTAGATAGGTAGATGAAAATCACAAT